CAGCTATCTGACAAAAGACCTGTCGATGCTGGGATTCGAATGGTCTGAGGGTGGGGTTGGAGCATCCTTCATCGGGTGGTTCTTTGGCTTGGGCACGATGATCTGTTTGACCCACTCATCTGATCACACAGGTTAAAAGCTTTGACCTGCTAGGATGGGTGACGCTTGGAAAGACAACACGGAAACATTAATAATTAAACCTTGACTTCTTTGGTGGGGGGGAAAAAAGACGTTGCTTTAAGAGCCTGCAGCCATGCTCTAGCAGCTGCGTGGGAGGGTAGCGCTATCTGGGAGCGATGGATGAGTCAGTGAGAGCATTAGTAATACCACTCTGGACATCTTTGTGGCCTTTCATTGCCAGATTTCACTATACTTTACAAACATCAACCAATGATTGCCTAACGGGGGGTCTCAAAAATGCCGTTGTAGGTGGGAAACGATCATGGAGCAGGCGTATCTTTGTGAGGTCCTGCTGGGATCGGCTCTTGACCCTGTGCTGTTACCAAGGACCTGCAATTAAAGATAAACTTATTACTGAGAAAGTCCACTGATGAGACAGAGGTCGGGGGAGTGATCCATCCTGGAGAGAACAGGTCACTGAAACAGGTCCCTGGTAACCTGGGCACCAGCAAGCAAATGTCTTTTAATATCGCCAACAGAGAAGTTATGGATATGAGAACAGGGAATATAGGTCTTGGCAGGGGGCTGTCTCCTAAGAAGCAGTGACCATGAAAAGGTCTCGGGTTCACGGTGGATAAGGAGCTGAACTGGAGATCCCAGTGTGAGGCCAAAAGGGCTCACGTGGTTGTTGGATGTACAAGCAAGGGGATATCGCGTGGCAGTCGTGAGGTTGTCTTACGTTCCCTCTGTATTTGGTACCGATGCTGCCGCTCACGGGATACTGCATCCAGCTCCGGTGTTCATAACTTGAGAAGGATGCTGATAACAGGAGGGGAGTCGGAAGAGACCCACCAGAACGGTTAAAGGTTTGGGGAAAGATGCCTAATACGACATCAGTCTATTTAAAGACTCAGTTGATCTATTCATAGCCTTTCTGGGGAACAGAAATGTGATAACAGAAAGGCCTTGGTACTACAGGGCCCTTCAGTCTCACTGGCAAAGGTATAACAAGGCTGGAAGTTGAAGCAGCGCAAACTTAGGCTAGCAATTAGGCGCATATATTTTCAGCCCTGAGAAAGGCAAACCATGGCAAGATCTCGCCACTCCTGAAATACCCTGGTTTGCTTTCCAAGGCTGGGTCTGCACAAGATATTTTTGCTGGCATAGTGCTGTGGGTTTGAGCCTGTTGGTATTGGGGTTTTTCTTCTTATTTGAACATTTCTCTACCAGCAAAAGCACCAGTGAAGATGCATTTATGCTGGCAAGACGGCATTTTCGCTGGTGTAGCTTGTTGCATTTGGCAAACTGTTCATCAATGCATTTTTTTCATGTTAAAAGCTGCATTCACTCTAGAAGGGTCTGTAGCCTATTTATACTGGGATAGTTTTACTAGCAAATCTTCTCTGGTGCAGGCTTGGCCTAAATCTCCTTTTCGACTACGGACTGTATCCAACGCAGCTAAGCACGTGTGCAGGCACAGGTACGCAACCGAGCTTTCACCGGCCCTCTGGAACGGAACAAGACGTTCCTCTGAAACACAAAGAGATAATAGAGTTGGGGTTTTGCTTCTCGCAAACGATTCCTGTGATCTCTCAGTGTGTTTCTTCAGCACCGAGGTGTTTGCCGTGTTCATTCAGCTGTGCCTAATCCAGGATTTCAAACAAAAATCCCACTTTGTCATTTTTGTAGTAATCTTGGAGCTCTACAGCTCCTGGTCTCTGCTGCGGACAAAGCTGTATCCACATTTTAATAAGAACTCAGATGCAGTTCAGGGAGGTTTGAATGCAAACTCGTTTATGAAGGCAAGAAAGGAAGAGACTTCAAACATTTGAGGATGTTTTGTGCTAGAGTCGAGGTGGGTGCCGAAGAAGTGCTGAAGAAATGGAAGAGGCTTGAAGTTCGGTGCGATTTGCACAGCAACATTTCTGGGTGCTTTTGAAAATGTAGTCTGATGGCTAAGAGTCTTTCCAGACAAAGAGTAGCACAGGGGATTCGTTAGCACTGGCGGCAGCAGGCTGTACCCGAGACCACTGCTTCGGCAGCCAGAAGAGGACCGTGCTAAATCTGTTGAAGAGCTGCTTGGAAACGGGGCCAAGCGAGCAAGAGCGACATGGTCGCGCTGCGTGCACGGTGCGTTCTCGGGAGGCTCCCAGGAACTGAGCTGTCGGGAGCCCAGGATATTTGCAAGCTGCAAAACCGTTTCGTGGAACGACCCGTCCGAATGGAGCGGAACGATCCTGATCTCCAAGTTCGGATTGACAGCGGGCGCCCTCAAACGTTCCAAGCACATAGGGGTTATTTTGAACTGAGAATGCCAGAAGACAATTCGAGTTGGACAAAATGTGTTGGAAATTGCAGATAAGAAGGTCACAAACCCCGGGGCCTTTCCCACAAGCTGAGTTTTGCCACCGAGATTCCTGTCTCCATAGGACTTCAGCATGCGATCGGCTCCCATCTTGCTGTGAGCTTTGACCAGCAGGCAAATTGCTCTTACTGATAATTAAATTCTCTCTTTGGCTTCAGAGAGAATGAGGGCGGCATGAACAGTGTGGGCTCATGAGTACGTGTTTGTTAGAGTTTAGGAGTAGTTAAGGGGGCTTTCCCCCTCCTTAACATCCATGAATGATGTTCCCAATAAAAGATGGAAATCTTGCATGTTGAGGGCTTGTGAATGCATCAGCTCCAGATGAAAATACTTCTCATCCTCGCAGGGAAAAGGGCATCTTATAAACTGATCATTTCCCAGTTCCTATGAATTCAGTCGGCTCTTACAGCAGGTATAAACTCTTGTTCAAGGGGCTTGGTCCTGCCAGGTGCTGAGCAATCAGGCGCCTATTCACAACACTTAAGCACTCTCTTAAATTTGCTCAGTTGGTCTAATAAAGCATATCACATCTCCCCAAAGAGTACTACTCAGTTGGTCTAATAAAAGATATCACATCTACCTAAAGAATACTACTCAGTTGGTCTAATACAGGATATCTCATCTACCCAAAGATTACTACTCAGTTGGTCTAATAAAAGATATCACATCTACCTAAAGAATACTACTCAGTTGGTCTAATACAGGATATCTCATCTACCCAAAGATTACTACTCAGTTGGTCTAATAAAAGATATCACATCTACCTAAAGAATACTACTCAGTTGGTCTAATACAGGATATCTCATCTACCCAAAGATTACTACTCAGTTGGTCTAATAAAAGATATCACATCTACCTAAAGAATACTACTCAGTTGGTCTAATACAGGATATCTCATCTACCCAAAGATTACTACTCAGTTGGTCTAATAAAAGATATCACATCTACCCAAAGAACCTTGCCTGATTAAATTTAAGCATGTGAACAATCCCATTGATATGACAGAGCTGGTGAAAGCTTCCCTTCTTATTTCTTGGATAGTTTTATGTGAGTCTTGGAAAACTGAGTATCAAAATTCAATTTGGAAATGATTAATAAAAGACTTAATTGATTGTTTTAGATTGAGCTGGAGTCCATAGATTGCTTATGACCTTGGCTTGTATCTCTCTATGATACATTATCCTTGAAGTCTTTACTCAGGTCTGCAACACGTTATGCATTAATTGTTTCTTAACCCTTCTATGACTACATGTAAATGCAAATGTAATGTATAGTGCAACAGAGAGGTCCTCATACACTGGCTTCCCTGCAGTACCTTAGTGCCCTTGTGCGGTCCATAGCACACCAGACAGAAATACTTTGCTTTCATGTGTTTATCGGTATATTTGTTTGGCCCTTCCTTACTCTTCATTTCCAGGAACAGTAGCCATGGATCTGCAAAATACAGAGTGCCGGCCTGTTAACAGCAGCAAGCTGACCCTCCCGGCTGAAAACGGGTCAGGCACCAGGCGACCTAGCATTGCCCCAGTGCTCGAGTTAGCTGACAGCTCTTCCCTCCTGCCCTGCGACCTGCTCAGTGACCAGTCAGAAGACGAGATGACTCAGTCGGATGAAGAAGGGCCTACGGTTGTTGAGTAAGTTGCCATTTGATAGCAGCATCGCTCTGTTTTAGTGTCCGAAAGACTTTTAAAGTGTTTGGAAATCCCGCTCGTGCAAACAGTCACGCAGTTGCAGCGCAAGAAAGGGCAAAAATCGTGGCGTGTACAAACGCCCGCTGCATCATCATAAGAGATCAGCCTTGTGTAGGTTGGGATTTTCAAACAAGTTTTAAGAGATATGCATGCCTACCTTTATGCTGTCTTCCACTTAATTCCACAAATGCCTAATAGGCGGTCCCTGTGCCAGATGGCTCGCAATCTACTCTTTGGGTTGTACCTTCTACTTTTTGGATCATTGCGGCTATAGTGTTAGAGTCAACGAGGTGGCTTTTCTTGTGAGTCTGCAGAAGAGAAGGCTGAGAGGGGATTTAATAGCAGCTTTTAACTCCCTGCAGGGGGGTTGCAAAGAGGATGGAGCTGGATGGTGACAGATGACAGGACAAGGAGCAATGGGCTCAAGTTGCAGCAAGGGAAGTTGAGGTTGGATATTAGGAAAAACTCACTAGGAGGGAAGTGAAGCACTGGAACAGGTTACCTAGAGAGGTGGTGGGATCTCCATCCTTGGAGGTTTTTAAAGCCTGGCTTGACAAAGCCCTGGCTGGGATGATGTAGTTGGGGTGGTCCTGCTTTAAGCAGGGGGTTGGACTAGATGTGACCTCCTGAGATCCCTTCAACCCTCATTTTCTATGATTTCGATGAGTCTATTTTTTGTCTCATGGTAGTTCCAGCGGGAAAGAGGGGCGTAGGCAGGGCAGGGCACGATTGGGTGTGACTTGTGCAAAAACAGGCCAAGAGATAGTCCACCGCCAAGAACTTGCAGTCAAGGCCAGCTCCCTACTGAGCAGCGCTATGCAGTCACACTCAGGATTGCCTTCCAACCGTTTGCCATAAATGCACATTCCTTTGGGCTGGGGTAATCATCAAGAGACAGGTGTAAAAGATCCATGTTTAACATAAACTCATCCTTAGATCTAAAACCCCCTTTCATTTATATCATCTCTTCCCCTTGTCGTCCTTGCTGTTGTCCTTGTCGGGTGTTATTGATGTGTTGTCAGTGTTGAAGTCTGGCAAAGTCGACCCCAACACTAATCTTGTCTTAAAGAACGACCGCAGCCTCGGTTCGGTGGCAAAGATTCGGCCAGGTTTATTGTCTACAAGCACAGCCCTAACACATTTTGGCCTAACCAGTGCATCAGACCAGGAGCTAAGACATTTGTACCTGTGCCAGGGTAGTCAGCACAACGCCAGGCAGACTTCCCCAGGATGCTATGAAGTCTCCCTGCTTTCCAGTTCTCTTTATACAAGGATCAAAACAAATGTCCTATTGCTTTAATCTGTATCTTGAACGTCTCAAGCCGTCTTGTACTGCGGGCTTGTTTCACGTTCTGACCTGGGCGTTCCCATCCTAACCTTATCATCCTGCTGCTAGACTATCCTCCCATCTCCCCTTCCCATCTCCAAAGTTTTATTTATGCATCGGTCAGGTTTGCTGGCGAAGCCTGCTCCTGTCAGTGCTTTAGCAAAGCCTTTGTGCGAGCAGCATGTATTGATGAAGACTCCAGCAAGGCCTACACCCCTCTTGGAAGCGCTGGGCAAGCCGGCAACCCTCTCAGTCTCAGCCTAAAGAGAAAGAACAGGATCAGGCCTCAGCTGACATACGAGCCTTGCCAATGGGAGATCAAGCAAGCCATCCACTCTGTGCTATTAAAATGCCAGCAGAGCTCTCCCTGATATTTTGTATCTCCATTGGATTGGTACAGCTAATACATGCAATTATTTTTCCCTTTGCCAAAATCCAGTTTGCATAAATTAACCTCTCGTTAATAGATTTTCCTCTGCTTCTGCTCTGTCGCTGGGGAAGCTCCCCTGAGTCTTATCTGCAGCGACGTGCTTATTTAAATTACGCTGCCAATTCACGAGTTAGCAAACGGTGCAAGAGCAGCACCGTGTGGTCAGTTCTGCATTTTCAAAGCAGCTCTTAATGGCTGCTGATGAGCCAGGTAATATATTTGTGTGAGCCCACACATGCACAAGCACAAATGGGTTCATTTGTAAGGGACACCATACCGTTATTAAAGTGGTGAGTAAAGCAACAGCACAAAAGCTGGCAATTCTGACTACGGTTTTAAATGGATTTCAATTCTCCGTAGTCTGACAGCTTTATTTTTTTTCTTCCATTATAGCAGCAGTGCAAAGTACAGCACGTACAGTACATTAAATGAAGGTGAAACCAAAAATAGGTGATGGGAGTTTTGTCTCTCTTTTTTCTTTTCCGACTCACAGTCTGCCGGCCAGTCTTAGATGTTGAGACCCATCTCTGCTAAACGCTTCCAGATGTTTTTGTCTTCCAGGATCTGTTTAATTGTCTGGGGGTTCATGAGAATAAAGGGGGTATGTGTCTGCGTCTGTGTGTCTATGTTCCCTTCATCCCGTTCTGTGACCCTTTGCCGGCCGAAGGCGTTTTTAAAACGTGTTCCCGTGCTTTATTTCTATTCTTGCCGTTCCAGCATCACTTAATAGTGTTTGCTGTGTGTGTGTGTGGCAAAATACAGGCGTGCCCCGATACTGATGGCTGTTATCTCTGCTCTAGGTACGTGAAAGGCTACCCCCCCAACTCCCCCTACATTGGGAGCTCTCCCACTTTGTGTCACCTCTTACCCGAAAAGGCCCCGTTCTGCTGCCTCAGGCTGGACAAGGTAAGGGGCTCGCTTCAGGGCAAGCAATGAAACATGTCAAGGACATAACTTTCTCACTGGGAGGGTGGTGAAGCACTGGAACAGGCTCCCCAGAGAGGTGGTGGACGCTCCATCCTTGGAGGTGTTGAAGACCCAGGTAGACAAAGCCGTGGCTGGGATGATGTAGTTGGGGCTGGTCCTGCTTGGAGTATGGGGTTGGACTAGATGTGACCTTTTGGGGTCCCCCCAACCCTCATTTTCTATGATTTCTATGACAGCCAATGGACAGCAGCCCTAGACCCACCCTGGTTACTGTCCTCCTGTTTTGGAGACTCATCTGGGAGACCAAGGATTGAATAGACCTGGGCAGAGAGCTCGCTGTAGGGAGGATGGCCTTATTCCCCGAGCAGGGGGCATGCACTGTGCTGTACCAGCCACCCGGACAGCTGTCCTCTCCACGGCCGCTTGGTCTAACTCCTTCTAGCTGTGCAAAAGTCACTCTCGATGCTCAAAAAAGACAAGCAAAGTGAGACATTGCCTGCCAGAGAGTGGGGCCATGCGAGCTGTGGGCCCCAGCCCCCATGGCTGAAATGACAGCATAGTCCCAGTCCCCTCCTGATCAGACTTGGCAGGGTCCTTCTCCCGCTCGTCCTACCCGCTGGTCTCTGCAGAGCTCGATAGGGCTGAGCCTGCCTAGTGGTTTTGCCGTGTCTGAATTTTGGAAGATTCCCTCTCCCCGGGGGAAACGTGGCCGTTTATCCTCCGGTGCCCATAGCCTGGCGTCAGGGCACGTGGGCAGCTCAGAACGGCTCACCAAGTCACGATGCTTTTCCGCCTCTGCCCAGGGTTGCAAGCACAACAGTTTTGAAGACGCCAAGGCCTATGGGTTTAAGAACAAGTTGATTATAGTCTCAGCAGAGACTGCCGGGAACGGGCTGTATAATTTCATCGTCCCCCTCCGCGCCTACTACCGGTCCCGGAAGGAGTTAAACCCGATTGTGCTGCTCCTGGATAACAAGCAAGTACTTTTCCAAAGTCATTTTCCATTGCATCGGGCCTTTCCCTCCCTTCAAATGGGCATTTCGTACCACGAGGGATTGTGCCGAGTGGTTCTAGTTGGTGTCTGAATGCACTATATGCAATATAATGTAGCTTTTTGACTGAGCTCCGGTACTTGGGGGTCAGGCTAGATGATCTGTTCAGGTCCCTCCTGACCCTAGCTACTATGATACTAGATACTATGGTACTTCTTAAAGAAATGTCCTATGAACCTTTTTGCCATTTGTCTCTCTTCCTCCAGGCCAGATCATCACTTTTTGGAAGCCATCTGCTGTTTCCCCATGGTTTACTACATGGAAGGCACGATCGATAAGTAGGTGTCCTTTGTTCACAGGTGTGAGTCTATCAGTCTGTCTACCCGGCTGCCCATCGTGGTCACATCTGACCGCTGCCATGCAGAATTAGGTTAAACTCTGTTATCCACCAGGACTTACCACACTGTTGCTTCTTTGGGTTGTCTAACTGCCAGTGCTAACTGCAGTGGAGAGGGTCATCTTTTAAGAGCCCACAACTTTGTCCAAGTCTCCTCCTTGCATCTTAGCAAATGCTGTAGGATTCACCTCAAGTTTCCCCACTTCTTAGGCATCATAAAATGGTCATTATGATATCAGAAGCATTTGGCATGAGCTCATCATTGCCATTCATGTGGGCTGAATGCATGCACCTTTGCAAAATAGCATTCGTTGTTTCATCCCTCCGTGCATTAACCTCCTCCTTTGTCTTTGGGAACGATCCCAGCCTGGACAGTCTGCTGCAGTGTGGCATCATTTACGCTGACAACTTGGTGGTGGTGGATAAAGAGAGTACCATGAGCGCCGAGGAAGATTACATGGCAGATGCCAAAACCATTGTCAACGTCCAAACCATGTTCAGGTGAGAAGCAGCCAAGGGTCCTTCTCTATCATTTGCATGTGCCTAGGACTCAGAAAAGCTGGGCTAGATGGGATCGCGTCAGGGTCCCAGGTCTCGTAGGCAGGGGTCGGTTCCCTTTCTGCATTTGGAGCCGTGCTAGAAGCTGAGCGAGCACCAGTGTGAGTGGGAGGCCAGGGCACAAAGGGGCTGGTGGGACCCGTGGGCGCTGGGGAGGGGTGTGATAGCAGAGCAGTTAGATCTTCCCACTGCTGCAAAGGCGTGAATGGAAATCCTGCTCTGGACTCATGCCGCAGGCTGCTGTGTTTAACTCGGACCGCAGAGGCACAGGGCGATGCGGAAAGGCCCTTTCCCCTCCCCACACCGTGTGCATCAGCAGCCACGAGCCTCTCCACGCGTGTGTGCAATCACCATGGCTCATCCAGTGAATTAAGACCTGGCTTGGCAACACTTGCACAGCGTCGTGGTGCTAACCCCCCACCCATTCCCCCATCCTCTTGCTGGTCTTGGAAGAGTTCGACCATTGCTCCCAGGTGAAGCTGACATGTTCTGCCATTTCCACACCCACCCCACTGCTCGCACGCGAGGCGCTCACCGCTCTGCCTTCCTTTCCAGGCTGTTTCCAAGCCTCAGCATCATCACGGAGCTGACCCACCCATCCAATATGAGGTTCATGCAGTTCCGAGCGAAGGACAGCTACTCCTTGGCCCTTTCCAAACTAGAAAAGGTGAGGTGCACCCTTGTCCCTGGGCACTTAATGCGGGGTGCTCACAGACCTATTTGCTCACTGGGGTTGGAAGGGTTAATATAACGAGTCATTAATTTAGCGTTCTTCCTGGCCGGGACTCTCCTGCTGCGCTCTGCAGTCATTAAAGTTAATGAATTGCCATCCAAGATACACAAGTATGTGGATGTTTGACCTTTTGGGTCTCTGGGCTTGTTAATAGTTGTGGATAGATTTGGAGTTTTCCCCGCTGTCAGGCTGGTTTTCAACTGCCAGTACAAAGCAGGTGAAGACGGGCTTCTGGATCGAATTAAATTGTATATCCAAATGAAATCTTGCTAAGGAAATGGGGTGGGGTACAACTAACAGCTGGCAAGGAGAAGGGAAAATATGTCTGGGCTAACTGAACCAGGTGGTGCCATTGTACGACTGCGCTCCTTTGAGTCTGTTAGATGTCAGGATCAACTAAAATAATCCCTCGCTTGCTTCTGCCGAGTCGAAAGCAGGGCGTGCAATGTCTTTGCTACTGGTGCAAGGCTCCAGCGTCTTCTTTCCTTTCTCGCGCGTTCACATACTTTGTGCTGGATTCGTGGGGTTGAGGGTGAAGGGAGTCAAACCAATTCAGAGGAAATAACCAGCCAAATCGAAGACTGGTCCTCCCGTTACCATCATTTTTCCTAACTTGAGTACGCTGACCTGTCAGCGAGGGTAATCCCTGAAAGGGCGCTAGGGTGTTCCTCAAGCTCTTGTAGGATGGAGCTGGACTGGTCTCAGTGGGGGCAGATGACAGGAGCAATGGGCTCAAGCTGCAGCAAGGGAGGTTGAGGCTGGATATTGGGAAAACCTGTCTCACTAGGAGGGTAATAAAACACTGAAATGGGTTTCCCAGAGAGGGGGTGGCATTTCCATCCAGGTTTCTAAGACCCGGCTCAACAAAGCCTTGGCTGGGATGATGTAGTTGGGGCTGGTCCTGCTTTGAACAGGGGGTTGGACTAGATGTGACCTCCCAAGCTCCCTTACAGCCCTCGTTGTCTGTGATTTCTACGATCCATCCCCCGGGCTGTCCTGCTGGACTTGGCTCTCGCTGCGATTGATAAAACAGCCACCCCGTCCCGCCCAGCTGCAAGTCCCGCCAGACAGCTCCTGCAGCAGAGGTACGGGCGAGGCGCAGGTATCTGTGGGGATGGGACAAGCAGGCAGGATCGCGACCCGGAGCTCAGATTTCCAGAGAAACAGGAGCGCTAACGGCCGAGGGAAGCGAGCGGTGTGGTTGTGCGCAGGGGTTAGGCAGTTGTGTCGTGGTGCTGGACCATGGGCCAGCTGCTGAATAGGACGAGTCCCCAGTAGCAGTGAGCCTGGCGTTGGTGGACCCGTATGAAAGACACTGCGCTGGGGGAAAGGATGGTTAAAGTGAACGAGCGCGTTCAAGTCCTGCCTCTGCCAAGGATCCCCTGCATGACCTCGGTCAAGCCACTTACTCTCTCTGCACCCAGGTCAAACAGGGATATATTAGCCCTCCTTTATCTGCTAGGTTGCCAGCTGTCTGGGGCAGGGATGGTCTCTGGCTAGGCCCTTCTGCTGTGACCCACATGAGCAACCTTGACCTCCATTAGGCCCCAAACAACACACGTGAAGGACGGATGGAGTTTTCTTCTCTTCACGTGCAAACAGAGCATCATGAAGCGTCTACCGCTGATCTAGGAGCATGGTCTCCGCAAATGAAGCACGTTGCAGGGCTCAGCGAAGCTGCTGAGTGCATTCGGTGTCTTGTGGGTCTGCTCCTCTCCCCAGAGCTCCCTGAAATGCAAGCGGAAGCTTTATGCTCTTTCATCCACAGCTTGGCCAGCCCCTCGCTACAAGCTTTCTACAAGACTCAGTCTTTCATCACTGGACAGTGGAGATGTGATAACAATTTTTATTAATTTTTTAATGATCCAAGAATAGTTTAACGTTTTGAGATGGGGGAGGTTAAGACTTGTTGGACCGCCCTGGGTGTTGGGAGAGATCCTGTTGGTTAAGGAAAGACCGGGTGTCTGCAGTTGTCACTGCTGCAACATTATATATATCTATATCTATATCTATATATATCTATATATATAATATGTATATATGTGTATATATATAATATGTATATATATATATAATATGTATATGTAATATGTATCTATATATAATGTGTATATATATGTAATATGTATATATATAATGTGTATATATATATATGTGTGTGTATGTATGCATATGTGTACATGCATATGTATGTATATATATATGTATGTATATATGTGTGTGTGTGTGTGTGTATGTGTATATATATATGTATGTATGTGTGTGTGTGTGTGTGTGTGTGTGTGTGTGTGTGTGTGTATATATAGATCACTTCAGAGGCAAATTCTCTTAAATATTTTTAAATTTCTTACTTACAAAAAAAAACCAACCTCTTGGCAAAAAAACATTTTTTAAACAACATTTTCCAGTTCTTAGTGTCTATTTTCTCCTGAAGAAGGGAAACCTAAACTTACCTAAATGAAAATTGTCATTTTGATTTAAAAAAATAAGGGATTTTTTACCCAAAAAGTGTACCCGGGAAGAAGCAGAAGGGCTGAGCCCTTCTTGAGATCCAGGGCTTGGAGGCATTGTGCTTCACGTGGATGGGAGCGCATGGGAAACAAAGTGGGTGGCATGGCTTGCTCTTGACCGGTGCACGCATGCTCCTCATCTTCCCGGTCTCTCTCCTTCCTCCGCAGAAAGAGCGAGAGAACGGCTCCAACCTGGCGTTCATGTTCCGGCTCCCGTTCGCCGCCGGCAGGGTGTTCAGCATCAGCATGTTGGATACGCTGCTCTACCAGGTCAGAAGGGCAGGTTTTGTCACTGCAAATGCTTTGAAAGGTGAAGCGGTTGAGCGGGCCGTACAGCCGTTCCAGCAGCCGTAGAGCTACCCTGGAGCATAAGATGCCTTTGCTGTATTTCTGTCTATACAAGGCACAGTGCCCCTCTCCAAGAAAGACCTGCAGGTCCAAGCATCCCAGTCCTGGCCTTCTCCTTCCTAGCAAGGGGGGCATCTATTGCCACCAGCAATCTCCGAGCTCCACATGTGCTTTTTGTGGGCCAGTGTTTCCTCCTCTAAGACTGTCTGACTTCCCCCACGATTCTGCGTATGGTTCGCGTCTAACTTAGGGAGCTATCATCCACTTGGATGCATTGCTTCCTCCATATTGTGCTCTTGCTGCATTGCTTTTGAGGGCATATTTTGTAGTTTTGCTAGCCATGTTTGTCTCCCATGTTGTAGAGAAGAATAATTCTCATTAATAATAAGCTTGATATAGCAGCACGGTAGCAAGCGCATACGTGAACCTCAACACCCTGCATCATTTTTCCTTGGGAGAGGAGGAGAAGGAAAGAGCCATACAGACTACAGTAGGTTGCTTAATGCAGCTCAGGACAGTGCCCAGATATCTTGGTGATGGGCAGGTTTAAGAACTGAAATGAAGGGAAAAGAGAATGGAACCACTACTTTCCCCCCCCCCCCCTAAAGGACCAAGATGTTTGCAAATCAAGAGAAATGATTATAACAAAACAAATGAGCCTTCTCATGGCCTGTCTGACTCCCCCATCCCTGTCCTTCCAGTCCTTCGTGAAGGACTACATGATCACCATCACAAGGCTGCTGCTGGGCCTCGACACCACGCCGGGCTCGGGCTACCTCTGCGCAGTAAGTGCTGATTTCACCCTGTTGCGCGCTGCGGTTACTCGAGATGGTGGGTTTGCTCGTGCATCCAAACCTTACGGTTGTTTGCGGGGATTAGATCTGGGACATCCACCTCCCGTCGTACAGGCCTCCCAGGGCGCAGTCCTAACAACCTCCTTGTTTGTCCTTGGGTGTATTGGAGCTGCCACGGGGAGTTTGCAGGCGAAGCAGAAATCACACAGGCTAGGGGCTTGGACACATGACATATGAACATCAATATAATTTAGGAGCCTCATCAAGGGGCAGTCGCATAATGACGAGCCCTACCTTTGGAAAAAATATAACGGGGAGGAAAACTGCATGGGTGCAAGTGATACGGGTGCAAAGCTATTCTGGGATAGCTGTTTGCTGTTGGCGAGCAGGCCCTTATCTGCTCCCCTTCACGTTGGCACTCTCCCAGAATAGCTGGGCGTGCATCTGCTCAGACCGCGGATGCAATTTATATCAGTGTCCCAAAGCCAGAGTAAATTGCAGTCGTGCAAGTGTCTGGTGTCCAGGGCCAAGGCCTGTGTCGTGCTTCCTCTGTGTCACCTGCACTAAGTGCTAATGCTAGAGGTTAAGTTTATAACAGTACCCCCCCACCTGAGAGATTTGGATAGGAACCAAGGCCCCCAGCCCCTGGGTCCAGACACCTTGGAGCCCTGCAGAGGTTCAGATCCGTATCCAAACTCTGCAACCACTCCGTCCTGCCCTGCTACTGACTCCTGTTTGGGGCCAATACGGAGATGACTGTTTGCAATGCAGTCATGTACATATTGGCCCCTGTAGTGTTAGCCAAGCATTGTATTATTTTTTCCGCTCCTGGCCAGATGAAGATCACTGAAGATGACCTGTGGATCCGGACGTACGGCCGCCTCTTCCAGAAGCTCTGCTCTTCCAGTGCAGAGATTCCCATTGGGATCTACAGGACCGAATCGCACATGTTTGCAACCTCCGAGGTGAGGAAGGGCCACAGCTTGTTGAAGAGCTCCTGGGGCAATAAGGTCTATCAGGCTGGCCAGATCCCCCATCTCTGGGAGTTCAGAGCCACCAATGAACTGCACTGTTGTAACCTGCATGGGGGGCTGGGCGTTCAGACACCTGCTAGGGGACATTTCCATGACCGTGGGGATGGCTGAGACACGCTGCCAGAAGCCAAAGGGCACCCATATTGACTAGGGTTCGTCCCCAAGGGTTGGAACAGAGGGGGATGCAATAAAGTTATATAGAGCCTCCATTTACATGCATTAGTTCAGTGCAAAACAGCTGGAAACACCTGCCAAAAAAGGAGGCTGGTGCTGACTCACTGCTCTTCTCTCTTAATTTTGCTGTCTGTGTTAAGGCTCTTTTGTCAGAGGACATGTATGCAGTGGAGGCAGAGAAGCTGGTGCCCGAATGGTGCATTGCAGTAACATGAATAATGTATCCATGTTGGTGCAAACAGTGATGAATGCTGCATTCAGAGCTGGGCAATCCTGGGGCCTTGCTCTGCTACTGACTCATCGCATGCCCTTGGGCACGTCACCTAGAAACAGCTCTTCAAAGGTGTTTGAGTCACCCGCTCTTGCTGGCTTTGGCGGGTGTTAGGTCTTTAAATGACCTCAAAAAGCTGGCTCCTGATCCTTCTGGGCTTCAGTGCCCCTGTGAATAAAATGCAGATCAGAGCATCATCGTGGTGGGGTTTTAGAGTTCACCGTGTTTTGGGCAGTGCTTTGAACATGGGATTGCCATAGACAGGGTATGATGAATTATTTCTTTAGCTCTCAAGGGCTTTCCAGCTCCTGAACAGCTGCTTAGAGATTGGAGGCTTTGGCGGGAGAGGTCTTGTCTGCATTAGTCTCGGTGGCTGTCGTGACACCAGTCGGGGGACGCTGGCATAGCTGTGTCACCTCCACGAGTGACCAGAGCTCTCAGATGTCAACATTGCTCTGTCCACAGCAGGGGTTTTGCTGCTATAACCACATCGACTATGGGGGCAAAGGGATATTTTCACACTGGTAGCCAACCTACAGGCAGAGCTTGGTAGCGTAGGCCTGGTCAGTGATTTGGGCCATGATGAGCCAGCACTAATACACATTCATTCTTAACGCATCCTGACCTTTTTTTTTCTTTCCTCCAAATGCAGCCTCATGACATCAGAGCGCAGGTGAGTAGCGTTTGCATTAAACCTGGGAGAACTTTCCCGGGATCTTCTTCTGCTTCAGATAGTGCTGGCTATTTTAATGTAACGTGGCGGGGAGCTTTGCTGTGAGCAATCCAGTGAGCTGGGTGCTAAAGAAAAGGGGAATTTCCAGAATTTGGCCCAGTTTTACCTCCCTGGGGAAGGAGCATTCCCTGTGCAAATGTCCCCTTTGGCTGGCTCGCTGGAGGGCCCTGTATGAATTAGATCATAGAAAATGAGGGTGGGAAGGGAGCTCAGGAGGTCCTGTCTAGTCCAACCCCTGCTCCAAGCAGGACCAGCCCCAACCACATCATCTTTGTCTAGCTGGGTCTTCAAAACCTCCAAGGATGGAGACTCCACCACCTCTCTGGGTAGCCTGTCCCTGTGCTTTACTACCCTCCTAGTCAGGTAGTTTTTCCTAATATCCAACCTAAACCTCCCTTGCTGCAACTTGAGACCACTGCCCCTTATTTTGGTCTTGGGTTTTTGGGGCCTGGGAAGTAGCAAGAGAGAGCAGGGGAAATGTGAGGGGAAGGAGATCAAATCAATGCCCCCCGAGTCTGCTCGGTGCAAGGTCCTTCTGCCCCTCTTGCACGCTTTTCATGTGTGTCCACTGCACAATTAAAGTCCCCCCCTATTTTATGTTGGGGTTTCATTTCTGGACACTTGCTCACCCTCTTCATGATCAGCACCACCAGGCTAAAGGAATGACTTCCCTCCTCTAGACACCAGGGCTTGCTCCTTAGGACCCCAAATGAGGCAGCAGCAGCCCAGATGTGCCTCGTAGGACATCCTAAAGGAAAGTGTGAAGAACAGGCCTCGAATCATAAAAGAAAACTGGTTCTTGTTCTTCTAGGCTAAAGGAAGCCACCTCTTTAACTGCTGAAGCATTCAGTCAAAATGAGAGCGCGCGCCATCTCGGAAATAAAAAATCCCCTAAAATTCCTGTTTGATCAGGCAGTCGAGACCCGGCACTCATCTCCGTATCGGTGCGTGGCTGCATTTCTGCAATAATCTTTCAGTTGCCCACGCGCTCATCTTGCTCTCTAGGTAGCTCAGTTATTTGAGAACATGGCCCTGAACTACCGCTTTGAAGCGATTGCTGGCTCTCCTTTTGAATGTGAATGCTAATCCCTGGCTAAATTAGCCTGTGGTTCTTTGCTTGAGTGGTTTCATTCAGCCTAATGACAGGATTTTTAGAAGGTAACTCTCTCCCTTTTTGGATCTTAATCCTTAAAATGCTAGGTACGTACCCATTTCTTATCCCTCATGTTAGGAATAATTCCAGGATAATACTTTCCACGCTCTGCTAAGACTCAGAAAGCAAGAGCCCTCCATGAATTACGTGGGGACATGTAATTCAGATAAGAATAGCTGATTAGAGAGCCAGCCTCAGCTTTAAAACATGTGGATTGAAAGGCTCATAGAAAGCTGCTGCCGCGAGCTGGAGGTTGGCGTGCAGTTAAATGCAATCTGATTCCTAGATGTGCTGCAACCCGTGGCGCTAATAGGCGGATCCGCGCCGTGCTGGGTGGCTTACGTTGCATGGTGGACTCATGCTTGTCATGTCTGCGGTAAAGGGGAGAGATAGTGATGGGAAAGTCAGCTCCTCGGGCATCCTGAGTGTCATCGTCTCCCCCTTATAGCAACAGATTGCAGGCCATAATGCGAGACTGTTCCAGCCATGGTGCTGGGAACAGCCAACTCCGTTGGAGTCGGGCCCTCCCGATGTAGCTAGGAAAAAAGGCATTTTAGTTCTTTCCCTTATGAACTGCTGGGGCTTCCAGTCACAGATCTCAATCAATGTTGAGGATTGCGAGGATACCAAAGATGTCAAGGAGCACTGGAGCATCAAGACGAGCCATCACAGGAACTCCTGCTCCAGCGACCAGTCTGAGCACCCCTTGCTACGGCGCAAAAGCATGCAGTGGGCCCGCCGGCTGAGCAGGAAAGGAAACAAGCACACGAGCAAGACGGCCGAGTGGATCAGCCAGCAGAGACTGAGTCTGTACAGGAGGTCGGAAAGGCAGGAGCTTTCGGAGCTCGTCAAAAACCGGATGAAACACCTGGGTTTGCCCACCACGGGGTACGGTGAGTAGGTTTGGGTTTTGCTTTATGGTCTCTCCAGCAGCGCATCCCATTTGCAAGCCGATCACATGAGTTAGCACCCAGCCTAATCGAACCCGACATGTCCAGGGCATAAATATCCTGAAGCAAAGTCTCATCTCCCAGCTGGTTCGTAGTTCTGCATAGTGCATTCGCACTCAGCTGCCCCGTCAACCCGCTCTCCTCTTGGGCCTGCAGAATCGAGGTTATAAGGGGCACGCGCTCAGCCACTGGCCTCGTTTCTGCGGTCTCAAATCACTGTGGATGCCCGTGTAATTCGTTTCACCTGTAATAACTGCGTGTGTCCCTGGTCTGCAGGTCCAAGTGGGGGCACAGACACCTAAATGACCCATTCTCTATCCCTGCGGAAGCGATGGCTAGCTAAGGACAGGTCAAAACCACTGGCCTTCAATATGCAACCAAAATATCCATTTATTATAGACACTAATATTGTTGTCCGAGAATTCCCCCCTCTGGGGCATGCACGGGAAAACACCAATTTATAGGCTGGTGCAATAGCCCGTGACTGTGTTTTCAAATCCTTCATAACGAAGGTGTTTGAGGAGCTAGAGCAGGGGTGGCCAACCCACGGCTCTTCAGAAGTGAATATGCGTCTCCTTGAATCTTTGCACAAGTGCACAGTGACCAGCTTCCATTGGGCCAAGCTGGTCACCGTGTGCTTGTGCAAAGATTCAAGGAGACGCGTATTCACTTCTGAAGAGCCGCGGGTTGGCCACCCCTGAGCTAGAGGGCTGAGCGGTTAGTCTTTAGGACCTCTCCATTAAGCAAGCACCGTACCATATCCTCAGCATAATGTAAGCATCCTCTAGCGCAACACGTATTTCTGGTGAAAGGTTTTAATTGGACTTTTCAACCAACTCTCTCAACTTTTTGGACAATAAGAATCCAATAATCCCTTGGTTATGACGCAGTCTCTGGCCCCCAGCTCTCTCGTGTGTTTGTTTTTCTTTTCTTCCTTTCTTTTAGCCATCCTGTGCTGCTGCTGCTGCCTGTTTGCCTCCATGCTAGAAACGCTTGTCCTCTTCATCCCTAGGCAATGGCTTCCTGCATACACTCAACGTAGCAGCTAGGCTCATATAGGATGACACAAGCCATAAGCACCGTCTTGTGCACTGAGGAATTGTGCAACGGGGGTGACCCTAGCAAGACACGGGGCGGGGGCTGGATTCCTAGTTGCTAAGAAGGTTTCTGAGGTTTGTTTTTTGCAGCCTTTCCGGCTATGAACGGGAGGGAAGAAATAGATGCAACACAGCCAAGTGTTTGGGTTTGGGATGGACGTAACCATTGGCACAGTTGGTTCCACAAAATGGAGCAAGGAAGAGGGTAGGATGGGTTTCAAATCAGAGGTGTCCTGGTAGGATCTAAGCTTGTTCTCACAGGCATTTAAGGAACTCAACGGTTGTGCAGGCAGGCGTGGGATCGTGGAGCATCGTTCCCCGCTTCTGAGCAGGGATCCAGTGGCACGGTGATGTTTGGAGAGGTATATCGGGGGTGGCTTTAAGTCCTGGTCCCACACGCCATGTAGTCGGGCATGGTCTGAGCCTGTAGTAGAGTCACAGACGGTAAAGTCAGAGTGATGATGTTGCACCAGCGATGACTGTTGTTGTCTTCTGAATTGAAGTGTTGGTAGATACACGATGAGAGGACACTAATTCTGCTTGACCATATAATGACACCGTTCGGCGCAAACGCAGTGGCTGTGGAGATGGTAATTGCATGGTGCCCTGTCATTGTAACCAAAGCTGCATCTAGGGTCTAACTACATAGCGGGAACTGCGCTAAGTTTTTTACGTGCTTAAAAGACCTCACCATGGGTCATTTGTCTGTGCGCCTTTTTCTGTATGTAAGGAACAGTTGCATGCCAGCTGAAAGTCTGCAGGTGGAGCGGTGAACACTGTGTGTGTTCGTGTCTCGTGTACTGCCATTTCCACGTGTCCTTCACAGCCCAGAGTTAGGACTTCTTCTCAATCTGCTGTCCGTGCTTTAAATGTCCCATGCATTTCTGCTTCTTGTACAGCTGTGTTTCCAGCCCTGGCTCAGAGCCTGGACCCTGGATGTTGGCGTTTCCTCCTCTTAATATGCAAACGAAGGACTCATTTCTTTGTAGGTAACCGCCAGGGCTGGGCAGTTGCTTTGGGATGCTGAAGTCTTAAAGGCTGGTACAGAAATTATAAGAATTTAATATAACAATGCCCTGGGATATTATCTGAGGGGCAGCAAGAGCATCTGTTAAGTAGTCAGGGCTGGTAATAGAGATGGTATCTTTTATTAGACCAACAAGATTTTTGCAAAAAATATATATTTAATTGCAAGCTTTTGGGCTTCTTTAATTTCAATTAAAGGCTTTTTTTTTTTTTTGCAAAAATCTTGTTGGTCTAATAAAAGATATCATCTCTATTACAAGCCCTGATTGCTTTTTCCTCTAGACCAATATGGCTGCCACCTGGATACCTGACATCTGTTAAGTAGTGGAAGAAGTGAGTCAAAGATCACATATTTTCTCTCCCTTTAATATTAGACAAATGGAAAAAAAATCTGTGCCTTAATCTATGCCTACAAAAGGGCAAAAGCTGCTAAAGACCTTGAGATACAGACCATCAAAGAGAGAGCCATGTGGTTTCGGGTTGCCCAAAGATAGGGTTTGTTTGCACAGCCGCCTTTTCAGAAGGTTTCCAGGCTCCTTTGCTGGTGAAGTTTCAAGACCTGCTGCCCCGATCACGTATGGTCCTCTAGCCTTTGCTGGACATCCAGTCTGCAGGACAGGCAAAAGTCCAAGTGGGTGAACCAGCTAGGAAAGCTAGACCCCATCACAGTGGGCCCCGGGTGTCCTATCAGGCCAAGGAGCAATGCTGGATCCAAGAGCTGAGACAAAATCCAAATAATTGCATGAGAGAGTTTATGATGGGGCCAAACCTCGCAGGAGGGACGTCCTGTCTAACCGTGATGCTGCAGGCTGGGGTATGCTGGCTCGAGTCCTCTGCAGCACCTGAGCCCACCTTGGATTGAGGGCAGGTTTAGCTTGAACACCACAAGTGTCGTGGCTTGAGAAGAGGGGGAAGCTGTTTAAAGCCAGTTATAAAGAGGAGGAAATGCGCCATGAAACCTGAAGCTCCTTTGGACCCCGTTGCATTGGTGTGGTGCTCTGAATACATCGTCACAGCATCCCACCTGTTGTTGTCCGAAATCCCATGACGTCGTGGACAGAGCACATGAGTCTGCCTTCTTTCCCCCCTTTCTTTATCTTTTGCCCATTTTATCACTGAAGCTCAGGAGCTTGTCTCTAATATTTGCCAAATCACTGCTTGCTGATCTCTCTCTCTCTCTCTCTCTCTCTCTTTCTCTCTCTGTTTATGTCTGTACCTTTTTTCTGTATGTTCTGTAGAGGATGTAGCAAATTTAACAGCCAGTGATGTGATGAATCGGGTAAACCTTGGATATTTGCAAGGTAATTCTTTTCCCCGGGGAGTCAAGCCTGACTCGCTGCACACCGCGTAACAAGATCATGCCAACTAAAACTGCCTCTTGCCAGTTTTCACCTTAGACCGATGCGCACCTTTCAAGCACTCGCTCGCAGGAGGGGGGTGAGAGAAAGGCCGTCCTGTATTACGTCCCAAATGGAAGAGCCGATAAAAGTCACAGAGACAGAAAACTCGGTGGCTGTTTGCTAGGTTGAAGTGTCCAGAGCAGTTCCACCTGCACAATGTCACTTTAAAAACCCCTCTTTCCAAAGTGAGCAATTGCAAGTCAGAATTGATTTCCATTTGTGGAAACCAATGGGAATTGGAGAGTTTGGGGTTGCGGGGAGGGTTTGGCAAAATGAAGTAGGCTGGAGATAAATTGTGGCCTCCATGAGCTAGGGAATATGGGCTTGGGTGCAGGATTGAATGAGTCCCAGACTTGTTCGCTCAGCAAATAGCAGAAAGATAGAGCCCAACAGAGCCTCTGTTTTATGGCTATCGAGCCTTTGGGGGGCCTTTAAATCATTCATGCAATCAAAATACAAATATTTTATCGTCTCAGATAAGGGCAGACTGATCAAAGTCTGGTGGCCAGCTACCATTTTTAAAAGTCTTGTTAATGCTAGGCTTTCCTGGCTGTTTCATCTGAAAACTCCTCCCCGGGAAAGCCTTACAATTTAACCCAACCCTTTATGCTTTCTTAATGGGTCTCCCCAAAGTGATCAGTGCAGGCCCAATTTGAGCCGAAGCAGCAACCTTTGCTTCATCGGTTATAACCCACATTTTACCTAGCTCATTTGGTGTCCAAGGGAACAGTCCCCTTCCAAGGCTGCTGCATTGCTTTGCAATTACCCCCTGCGTCCAAACCTCCGAGTGGGAATTGGATTTCATGCTACATTAAGCTTTAACTCAGTGGGCGCTACCAGCCTGCTGTCCTGTGTCGCTCTGTGGAAGATAAGCTGCATGTAAAAATATCCTAGCATTTAAGTGAAGATAAATGCAGGAAGGGATGTTAACTATGGATCAGTGTCACCAAAATTCATAATGTTGATGGCTGCAGCAAAACCAAAATATAGCCCATTTTTTTTGTAGTACTGGCCTGCCAAAGCCCTTTTTAACCAAATAACCCAAAGATGAGCAAAGATTATAAACCACTTGAGACTCTCCGGCCTTTACTAGCCCACACTTAAGGTGAAAAGTTGGCATTTTCCTATTAATGGTGTGCTTCGTCAGAGAAATGGCCCCAAATGTGGTTTCATGGAAGTCCCACTCAAATACAGTATATTGCCAGCTAGTCAGCCCATGCTTGGGAAGTCCATGCCTCAGTGAGTTTTCTTTGGCTGCAGCTCCTTTGATTTATTCTCCTGTAAAAAAATCACGTTGCCGCAGTCCAGAATGTCAGAGCAGGAAAAATGCATCCTAACAACTGGATAAATCGGGAGAAGTCAAACATATGCACAGAGAAAATCTGGTTGTTCAGTAAATTTGAATTCTGGATGGATACATCTACAAGCTCAGGTTCTTTTTTAATTAGCAGGCTCTGTTTCTGTTTGGCCATGCTAAATTGGTCTCGTGAGAAAGCAAAGATGAGCGTGGCGGAGGCCCTGACCTGTAGGAGACAATATGGCAATATACTCGGTGGGTTAGCAATGCTTTGATCTAATGCATGGTTTTGCTAGGAAAAGCTGCTTCCATGGAGCAGGAAAGCCTGCCTCAACCAGAGGCCTCTTATCCCCTCATTTGGCCAGCTGCACATTTGGGACAACCTTAGCTATAAGAGGTTTTCGAGGTCTCTAGCTGTGCACCCATTTCCATTCTTCTGCCCGTCTTCACTGTAAGGCTAAACATTGGGATGTGACTGGTACGAGAGCATCGTCTAAAACCGACCTGTGCCACGGCTCTGAGTACTGATTGGTGGCTCAGCCTTTTGGTATTCTGGACGTAGGTTAGCATGGTACCAACCAGCGTCTTCCCCCAAAAGGGAGTGCATCACTCGCAACCCTCTGCATGAACTCACCTCCCCTCCAAGAAACCTCCAGGCCTGTACTTAGTGGGGATGCCACGCAGAGAAGCGCGTCTTTCAGGTTGTTCTGCAAGTGCTCAGGCTTGGGCTTAGATGTGGGATCAAGTCCTAGAGGTTGGGACCTGGTTTTAATACTGTCCTTTGGCTTTTGTGCGCATCCGTTTGGGGTAGGGAGCTAAGATGTTCCACCAGAGCATAGTTCTGTGAAGGAGGCGGAGGGGAAAGGCCTTTGCTAGGTTAGACTTGTTGGGCATTACAGAATTGCACCCGGCAGTGAATTGGCTGAGAGCGGAGAGAATGAAATGCAGGTATAACGTGCTCCTCTCCGTGCGTGCCATGGAAGAGGAATCCACCTATTGCACATGCCGCAGCCGACGGTGTGACCTTCTGGGTTAATCGCAGCGAGGGCGTTGCAGTAAAGTTGAGGTAAGAGAGGCACGAGGAACCGTGATGCACCTTGGAGGGATGCCGTCCCTTTCTGGGCCACTGTAGAAGGAAACAGCTGATCTTGGTTACTGCAGAGGCGGCCCTGGTAGGATGAACACTGCTGATGCTCTGTGTGATGCTCCCCTTTTCACCAGTGCCCTTCACCCAGGTCTCAAGCATCTTTGCTCCTCGGGGACCCTTCATTTCCAAAGATGCAAATAAATGCATGCCAGTTTTCTGCTCCAAGTGGTAAGAGTAGCTGTGCTCAAAGCTAGTTGCTCTTTTCAACTCTCCTGGGGTGCGAGTTGCAGAACGGGGAGAGTCCCAGCCGCAGCAGAGCGAGAGGTTGTCAATCGAGGCTGCCGGAGCTGATGGCAATGGAGCAGTGCTCAGATGGCATGGGCAAGGGAAGGAGATGGGCCGGGAGAAGGGGACCCCGAAACATCTAAATTTGCCAAGGTTTCACCGTTACTAGCTCTAACGTAGAAGGGAGGAAAGAGCCATGCTTATCACTTCCCAAATCAGTTTGCTTGCCCTAGGTCTTTCAAGGCAGCTGTTAACGGGATCCCGGGAATAGCTAGTCTATGTGGTCATTGAATAGGTGTACAGATTTATCGCCGCAGTAGGTTTCACAGTATTTCTCTGCAGTGGCAAGTCAAGCATGACTGTTGTGGCTTAGCTGTTTTCCATCAGCTGCAGGAGCTACAGGCCGTGCACTTGTGCTTGTTTGGGGGCCACTGAAGCCATGATTCTTTGTCAATGGAAAGCCTGTCATTACATCAATGTGCAGAGTAAAAATGACGTGAGCTGTAGCATCCTCATCATCATGGCCGGATTCCCCAAGCTGCATTGCACAGACCAGTCTTGATCAGTGCTTCCATGCTGTCTGTGCAAGCAGAAACTGCTGCGAAGCCTGTTGAATGTATTTATTGGCAAGCAAATTCCTCTTGAATTCAAGGGCAGAGGCATCGCTTCGAGGTTAAAATGTCTGCTGTCAGTGGCGGTCATGCATTTTTGCACGTGCATCTGCCCAGGCTGCTCAGCCAGGCCAACTTCTGCTTGACCCATTTTTACAAGCATCTGGGCCTTTGGCATGCAAAATTGGGTGCTAAACCATCTCCCAGCATCCTCTAGACATTGCACTTGAAGAGAACAATCTGTGTCGTATTAATCAAAACCAAGGGAGACGTAACCAAGGTTGAAGGGCAGGTAGGCAAGGTAAACAGCAAAAACAAACCTTCTGTCCAGGAAGGTTCAGCCCTGCAAGACAAGACTCTGGTACCATTAAACATCCTCTGCAAGATAAGGTCTTGATTGAAACGTCAAAAAAATCCAAAGGTCTAATAGACATGACCGACTGTTTTGCTCTGGAGAGGCAATATTTCTGATTAATGTGGGAGACGAGGTCCCAGTGGAAAGCCTTGCAGCGAGTTCATGTAACTGTCCTATTTGCTTCTCTGCCCTTGACGTAGCCTCTCTACTAACCTTCCATCTCATGAGCCATCCTGTATATACTGCACCTTGTCGGCGAATGTATAAACACTGTTATTTGTGCAACCGCGACCGACCCCATTTACACGTACGGCGCCATGTGTTTATCCACATAATTGTCTTGATCGCTGAACCAGCGCACTCGCCTTCGTTTCACTCATCACCTTTTTACCCAGCTGTTCGAAAAGCAGAAGGCACGGCCCCTCATTTAGATCAAAGATGCTTGGTCTGCACAACACCCATGCGATGTAAAGAAAAGCTGCGCAAATAAGTGTATTCATGCGGTGAGCTTGTTACCACAATTGATATGGCTTGTTCCAGAGAATATGGCTCTCCAGGCTCGTATATCGATGGCCATGAATATTTTCTGATGGACTTCCCTGTTCTTCCAAACTTGGAGCTTTGCCCTTGAATTCCCTTGACATTAACTGCCTCCCTTGATTGCACGCCCTTTCGCCCTGGAAGCACACTGCATTTCCTTTGGGCAGACCAAAGAAATAATCATTAAATACATTCTGCTCCTGGGAGGACAGGGAATGGGTGAAGCAGTCCAACAAGGGGCACTGAGCCTATGGCAAAAATCAGAGCAGCCTCAGGGCTTTCTAGCTGCCCCTGATGGACATTGAAATCTGTGGGGAATGCCCAGTGCAATAAGACTAACATCTTTCTATCTTTTTTAATGCATTAAAACAAGGTAAGCGCAGCTCTTTCCTTATTTTGGAGACACCACCTGTTCTGGGACCGATGCTAAGAATAGTCCAGGACTGAAATCCCCTCCAAGTGCCTTCAGACACTTGCATGTGCCCAAGCAGCCTGGCTGGCATGGTGCTAGGGAAGAGGGATGGATGCACATGCAAAATGGGTGAGGCGAGGGCCTGGCTCCAGCAGTTTGCCATTAGACATTGAAGATGCTCACGTTGCTCTTGGGGGCAGACAGGGGGTCTGAGACTGGCACCAAGGGCCCCAACAGAAGCACCGCGTGCTGTGCAGAAGGGAAAGCCGGCTCAGGAGTGTGAGCATGGAGGCCTGGGGGAAAGGAAGAAGCAGGTAGGCTGTGTCAAGGAGGCAGGGAAGTGCCTGCTGCAATTTCAGCCTTGCCTTCTTGCTGTCCCTGCAGCCAGTGGGGTCCCACTTCAGTTAGAAGAGCTTGCCCATTATTAAGGACCCAGCCCAAGTGAGAAGGGGAGTCCTATTTTTCACCCATTATTAAGGACCCAGCCCAAGTGAGAAGTTGAGTCCTATTTTTCCCCCCAGCCTCTCCCTTTATCAAGCTGGGTGCTCACAAATGGTAGGACATCCCCTGTCTTGAGGGACAGAGCTCCTATCCTTCAGGCTTAACTCTCTCTGGACCAGAAAGATAAACTCAGGATATTTGGTCATGGCAGGGCTCCCACGTGCAAGCCAGCCCTGCTAGTCTGTGTGGAGGGGAAGGGGACACCCACCTCCTACAACACCCCACACCCTCTCTCTCCTACAACACCCCACACCCGCTCTCTCCTACAACACCCCACACCCTCTTTCCGGGGACGCAGTGGGGACTCTGAATGGCATCGTGCTCCTCACCCCACTCCTTTCCACCACCTGCTTGTGGCACTGCATCGTGTGAGTGAGCTATCTATGGCTTGTTGTTCTGGGAGACATGCCCAGACACAAAAACAACTCGGGTAAACACGTCTTGCCCATTTCCCCTTGATTGAAATACCTGCTGGTGTTTGGAGATGGGCAGGATGGGAAGGAAAACCAGGTCCAAAGAGCTACGAGCCACCAATCTCTATTGCAGCAGTCTTTGTCCCAGGGCTTAGGGCACAAACCTCACTGGATGTCTGGTCCAGGAACACCACTGAATGCTCATTATTTAGCACATCTGCTTCTGTAATCACAACCCCTTGGGAAGTGCACCAGCCCCTGTGGTTCCCCAGGTTTAGGAGCGCAGAAGTGATTTGTTGAACGTTCGCTGCCGAATCCAGTCGAGAGTTACCGCCCAACAGGCCAGTCGTCTGCATAACAACTCTGTTTCTTTCCCCCTTGCAGATGAAATGAATGACCACCAGAACACGTTGTCCTATGTCCTAATCAATCCACCTCCGGACACGCGCCTGGAACTCAATGATATCGTGTACGTATGAAACGAGTGCCAACCCCGTGCGCTGCGATGCTGGGTGGTCTGTGAACGTTGCTAAGTGTAGTCTGTTTTTAAGGCTTGAGATGGTTCATGCCTTTCTCCAAAAACCTTTCCCATCCTTTCCCTATTTCACTTCAAAGAATTTGCTTGAAAGAGTTGAGGGTTCCCCATGGGTAAGAAAGTGTTTATTATTAGTATAGGGGTGCAGGTTGTAGCCGTGTTGGTCTAAGGACATCGGCAGACAAGGTTTTTTGGGTAAATCTGATATCATTTATTAGACCAACTCAGATCATTGGAGAAATTCTTCTTTGCCAGCTTTTGGGTATAAATACCCTTTGTTAGGCTGAGGAAGCATCTGCAGTTGGCGTGTGCTCTTCCTGGATAGAATTAATATGGCTTTCTTCTGGTTTTGTAGTTTTCCCACCCTGTGAGATGTAGAGTCCAAGTTCACTCTCTTCCTCAAATTTGATGTATCCATAATCCTTCTGCAGGCGAATGAGCTGTGTTGGGTTTTTTTTAGGCTCTACAGTATCAAGAAAACAAGTGAAAATTAGTTGAAAAACTGTGGCAACTTTATGAGCAAGAGCCCAAGACAAAATGTACATCTTGTAGCAGCATTTTAATGACGGATAGATCCGTTTATTCACAGGAGCATGCCTTTTTGTCTGGCTATTGTGCCAGATGTATTTAGCATATAACAGGAATCTGGAAACTAGTTAGGTACATGTCCTACCCCAAAGCAGACTTCAGGCCAAATCTTCCCCTTTGCACTGATGCGACTCTGGAGTAGCTACACTGCTGTTAGCAGAGAATACTCCTGCGTCTTCCCCCAAGAAACCATGCTTGCTTTCAGGTGATGATGACTTGTGTCCAAGGAGTCTCGTGTTGGAATGGAACAATAATTAGCTGCTTCTTTTATTTCTGCTAGGTATTTAATACGCTCTGACCCTCTAGCGCATGTATCCAATGACACGCACAGTCGGAAAAGCAGCTGCAGTAACAAGCTGGATTCCTGCAATCCTGAAACCAGAGATGAAACGCAGCTCTGAATGACCTTTGCACTGAACACGTGTCTCCTCCTCCTCATATTGCTAATGCATGGGATTGTAAGAGAACTGACTGTAAACCAAACCCAGGGGGAAGGGTCTTTGCGGGAACGTGCATGCCAGGTGGAAGTCTGTACAGGAATCGAGACGCAAAGATCAACTGTCAGCGGTTCCTGACAGTTTACTCCTCCGTTCACATTGCACTATGGAAATGTCATTCCCAACCTGGATTCAAGCTGCTTAGAAATGCCTTGGAAAGGAAGCTCCTAAAACATGGGTGTTAAAGGCCAGGTGGCCAAGGAAAAGGCTGGCAGTCGCATCCGTCTTTGTTTCTAACTTTTTATATGCACCGCAACTAGTGAGACGGTCTTTGCTGGCATTGGTAGAAGCAGCCCAAACTGAGATCATATGAGTCAAGCCTGGTTTACAAGAAGGATCATGCTGGAAAATGTCCCTGACACCATACAAATTGCTCTACCCCCTCAGCGGACCGGGGAAGTGCCAATGCAAGAGAGAAAAAATGATCCTGTAATCTTCTTTCTGTTTCTGGTGGGATCCCCTGCCTGACGGGCCATCCTACCTTATTGTCTCACATGGATGTTCTTAGTGTGCTTCAGCATTTGTAGGCCTACTGCCGTTTTCTATCATGGGGAAGGGAGTCTGACAGAAGAGAGATCCAGGGAGGGATAGAGGAGACCAAGTTATCCATGGCCAATGATGGAGAGCTGCTCGGGGGGGCGCAGAACACCTTCGTCTTGGAGGGGTGATGGGAGCGTGTGGTTTGTCCTAAGGAGCTGGACTCAACACCTTGCCCATCTCTTGAAACTGGACCATCCTGTGCTTGTGTGTGTCATGTCCTATCCAAAGGATGTGCTGATTCCAGCATTTCCTTTAATATGTCATAAACCAACTAAAGGGGGACCAAAAGTCAGGCATCTTCCGTGCACACTTGCCTGTTACATCTGTCCATATCGCTGCAGAAACGTTGGCTCAGCTTCCTATTGTCGTTGGGCCCCCCTGGCTAATATCCACACAGACTTTGGCCCATCGTGAAAGTATTTGGTACCTCCTCTGGCTTGCATGCTAGATACTATCAGCTGGCAACTGCCCTGTCTTAGCCATTCCTCTCTGAGGGCTGACAATCCCTTCTATCATGGAGATTGAAATGCAAACAAGGATCCAGGATTAGCATGACGGTTAAGCTAATTGATGAATCCCGTATCACTAGATGGGCAGGGATAGAGACTAGGGATAGCTTGGCTGTGTTGCACACTTTTGTCATTGATACAGGGCTGAATCTATGGTGGTCCCGCACATCAATTCTGAAAAAACTGATTAAAGCTAAAAAAAATGGAGATGGCGGGGCTGGCTGCTTACTGGACCAGGGACTAGGAGGCCGCCCGGGGATGGGGATTGTGAACGGCGCTCTCCGGCTTTGAGTAACCTTTGCAGAACTCTTGGATGCAACATCAGCAGGTCTGCGGTCGGGCCCGGTTTCATAGGGACGTCCCAATTTTGCAAATACTTAACACGAGTGGGTTGACTGGGCGCATTAGGCCTTTTTTGCCCATGCAAATTGCCCACGTGGTTTCAGGAGAAGAAGGTCCAAAGCAGACTTGTTTTCTGTACTCTTCTGATTCAGGTCTTCAACACGGCATGCTGTCAAGTGGCGCTGGTGCTTGCGTAGGTCCGTTTTGATTTCTACTCTGGTATCACCACATCCTGCCCTTCCCTAGGCTCTTGCTTCTCAAGTCACAGCAAGAGAAGCTCACATGCAGGACCCCTCCCCCTGGTTCTAGCAATCATCTCCCCCTTCCCCTGCACACGGCTCCATTGGTTTTGCCTTCACGGCTGTGCATTGTGGCCACCCATTGCCTCAGGCCTAGTGGCATCTAGGTTGAGTTAGGTACTTTGGCTCTCTGAACAGTGGTGGGAAGAGTTGCTAGGTGCCAAATGAATGAGATCCATAATAGCCAATGTGCTGAGCGGAGCCCGCACTGCCAAAGCTACTCCACAGATCGTGCTCAGAGGTGGCTGGAGCTTAAGTCATTGAGTGTTGCTCCAAATCCAGGCTGGAGGCTTCTAGAGCCAGAAGTGACCTGGCTTTAGGCTCCTTTCGGACAGTGCCCTCCTTTTACTCTGTAGCTCAAAGCACCAGGCACATGGGAGACTTGAATTGAAGTCCGGTCTCTGCCTGAGCTGAACCAAGGATTTGACTCCCTAGGAAATGCCCTAAACCCTTAACAATAAGGTATGTGGAGGGCAGAGCCGTCTCATCCCCTTCTGTGGATGATATTTCACCCCTGGAGCAGGGGTTTGGCTTTTCCATAGCCTGGGGAGTGCCGTACCCACAGGGCGGTGGAGTTAAGGTCTTTCTCTGTGCGGCGCAGTGAATAATTTTTTACTAAGCAGACCAGCTTCCCCAGGAGTGAGACCCCGGCAGCTCAGAGTCCTCTAGGGTCCAGAGATCAGTGCACTTTCTTGGGAGATGTGGATTCAAGCCCTGGTCTTAAATCAGGGAGAGAAGAGATGGGAACTGAGGTCTCCCATTTCCCAGGTAAGTTTTCAAGTCACTGTGCGCCGAGGTACAAATGGGGATCACCTGCTCCTTTTGTGTGATGCCGGATCTGCTAGATGTAGTCCAACAACATCTATTAGCTCAGGTCCTGCAGAGGAGGGATCCAGCTTGAATCCTTCCACGACAGAGGTGCTGAGCCGCTCAGTACTACCAGGCTTGAGATGAGGCCTGAGTGCTGGAGAAACTGTTGAGAAGATAGATGCAAAAATGGCTTAAGGTCATTGGCGTCTACTCAGCCTCATTCCTCTCCCCTTCATCCTCCCTAGCTCCATCATAGGGGCTATGTTTGTAAAGTACTTAGAGATGCAAGGCTTAATCATCCCAACTATTACCCTTGGGTTTCACTATAATACTAAGGGTCCTGAGTTATAGATGCACCCCAGACTCTGTTCTGTAAAGATGCTGCTTCTCTGGTCATACTTTTCTTTGACTTGTTGGCTTAGTTAAGAGGTTATGACCCCTTATTTGAAGGCTTCTCCATCCCCATCTGCCCTTTCAATACAAATTTCTCATCAGCCAAGCCACCTTAAATTTGGGAATGGGTTTGCTAGTCATTTCCCTGGGATTGTTTACTGATGACACATGTATTCAACTCCTAAAAGTAACAGACTCTGTTTGGTCTGCCTGGAGGTTTGAGGAACCAAAAATATTGATATCTTTGTTATGATCATCAGAAACAAAGCTCTACTTATCTTTTATATAGTTTTATAATTGGGTAAAGCTATATGTATGTGTTGCTTTTGCCTACAATAAAGACATATGAATGTACAGAATAACCTTAAACACACTAAACAGCAATGTACACTCCGGCCAACTCCTATTAAAATTTGCATTGACTTACATGGTAGAGAACTTTCTATAGCAGAAACATGAAATGTATTTTTCATCTATTTTTGCACACTTTAAAATGTTGATGTGTGAATGTTTTATTTGAATGCCAAGTGGATAAACAGGTTGTGAACTTTATATACTTTTACATTCAGATATTAAACTTTAAATGCAATTTTGATAAGACGTCTGTAAAGCACAACATCACGAAATCCCATCAGCCATCACGGATTGGTTGAACGGCCATTGACAGATGAGCGGATGCAATAGCGTTTCTCTTGTTTTTCGGAAACATCAGCCCTTCATTTTGAGTGACGCGCCCAATAAAAACTGTTTATAAAATTTGCTGTTTCAAATTGCAGCTTCAAGCAGCTCATATAATGCTCAGATACTTCCATACCATCTGCTCTATCCTGGTGTGGGACATTAACAGGTCGATCTAGAACCCCATACCCACGGCTTGCAAAACGCCAATACTGTAATTCTGCAGTGAGGTGGGGACCAATACAAAAACCTGTCTTTAAACTGTTCTTGAGAAGTCATTGCCATATATTATACACACTAGAAAAAGGGGAAAGCTGTTGACTGGAGTTCCCTGACTCAATCCATTCCTGGTCCCAAAGTATAGTAACTTGAGGACTAATTCTCCAAACTCTCTTACGCTTGCTGATCACTGTGCCCCCCCCTGCAGAAACCAACAACAAAGGAAGAAGCTCGCTGCTCCATACTCTAGGTGTGCAAACAATTTATGCGGGATGGAGTATTGAAGAAAGAGCAGGTATGCTGTATGGTGAGGGGGCTAATATTACTTATGTTCTTGTCCAATTTCTGTACCGCACCATTGCTACAACAGCCGAGGAGGAATCCCGCTGGTTTATGTAATCTCTTTACAGTTGAACTCTCTCTTGGGTCTTGTGGTCAAACTTTGCTTGCACTTGGTAACTCTTCTGCTTTATTTCCGTACTGCCACAGCATCAACAAGAAGATGTAGGCTGTGCCCTTCTGGAATCTCACGTCACTTTTCTTCTGCAAGTGAAATGCTCCCAAAGGTAGCTGGAGATGCATATGAATATAAAAATAATAGGAGAGAGAAACAGATGAGTCAAGAACATGGACGCAGAATGTAAAAGCTTGGAACTAGGATGCTGTGGTTGGTACTGCCAGTCAAACAGGTTTTCACATGCGCTTCCCCCTTCATTTACAATTGAAAAAGGACTGTGCATGGGAATCAAACAGGTTGTATGGAAACACGTTAACTTTGAAAAGGCTGCAGTGCTATAATCCCCGTGTCTCCGAGATAGCGAAACAGGTAACGAAACGTAGCTCCTGGTTGGAGTTTCCTCAATGTGCTGTAACATCTCCCGAGGGGGGGAAAAACCCAGATAAAATTGGAATTGGCTGCCTTGTACAATAATCCCATTGGGTTTTTTTTTCATTCTTGTCATGAGTATTGGTAGTTCTGGTTGCTTCCAGCCGATTGTAGTTGAGTTTGCCCACACAGTGGGGAAGACTCACTTTTCATAGTAGCAAAAGTAGCAAGTCAGACTATGGGATCTGTAGCAGGTGACAGAAGCAGCATCGCCTTTCCCATGAGCCTTCATCCATCATTGGATCCAGAGTCAAACAGGACCCTTTCGGAGGGGCTCCAATAGCGGGACAGCTGGGCAAAACCGCCTTTCCTTTCACCCCTCTAGTTGTCCGGTGAGAAATAAATGAGATATCACACAAAAAAATAACCACAGAAAACATGCTGTTGCAGGAGTGGAAGTGACAGACATTTCATGAGGACAGCCCTCTTCCTGACATTTCCAAAATCACTCTCTACAGGTGGGAATATGTTTAACTGAGTCTAAATCTTAAATTTCCAGAGGCCTCCCAATCCCCTCTTGTCACTCAGGTGATAGTGAAGTAAAGCCATAATTGGACACATGAATAACTTGTAAGCTGTGTTACAGGTGAAATGGGTGTACTCTGGTCTAGGCTCCGTATGCCTGGCTGGGTACATTGTGTGCACACACACACACACACACACACACACACACACGGTGCACATTCACTCCGATTACTGACAAATAAGTTGAATGTTCCCTTTTCATTTGACCTCCGTGCACTGATCCAGGGTGTGAATAGGAGACAGCCTCAGTAACGTACCAAGGAGACAGTACAACAAAGCACGCTTCCTGCATTGATGCATGCCTTTAACGTGCAACTGCAGTTGGGTATACCAAACAGCCATCACAACCCAGGCCTGCAGCAACAGGAGTTACTGCTACAAGGTGCAAGGAAGTGAGATAATGATACTAACAGTATTTCACACGATGAAATAATTGCAGAGCAAGTCATGCTGAACGCTGAGACGATGCACTGCCTTTGAGTGATCAAGTCTAAATTAAGGACCGCGGTTGAAGGATGCCAAAAAGCCAGCTGAGTAGCAACCCTAGATTCAATGTGGGGAGAGCCACCGTGCAGGATGAAGAGAAGGAAGCAGAAGGGAAAGCTGTCCCTTCTTGCCAGGCATACATGCAGATCACTCCTTAACAGCAAACAATCGTGGTGCATACAAAAGCAACTCCAACGCAAGGTTAACATATGCATGTTTCAGTACGATACCAAAATTGTGCGTGTTCTGTGGCATTTTGATAATGTTTCATTTTGTTTAATATATAAATAAACATATTTAAAAAAAAAAAGAATAATGCTTGTACATCTTTTCCCTTGATTATTTCTGTGCTGTCAAGTCATACCAAACATTCTCACGAGATGTAAAAAATAAGACAAAAACCATCCACAAAAGCCTGCTGTAGATATTTGTCTATGATTGGTGGACTGCTACGATCAAACATTTCTTTTTTTTTTTTTAATTCTTTAGAACTGGTTACAAGACTAATGTAAAAGCAGAATTATTTAATGTTCCTGGAAACACGAATGTGTCAGAACAAAAATTGTATCTGCTTAAAAAAGGGTTGTCATAGAAAAGTACCAGTAACAAAATCCCACATTCCCGTGTCGTTTTAATATTCTGAGCTATTTGGGGGGGGGGGCGCACACTGGTACTTCTGGGCTTAGCACGATTGCAGTTGTAACCACATACATATAGCCTTTTTGCCGGACAATCCCTGCAGGCAAGGGTGACAGGGATAAACCAGAAGTGCACAAAACTCATCAGTTGTCCACCAGTTTCTGGGAGGGGATGAAAGAGTTGCTGATGCTGAGTGAACCTACTTAGCTAAGCTTTTGCCAACTGCACCAAGAAGCCACTATGCAAAGACTTTATTCAGGCTTAGGGCAGAAAAGGGAAGATGGTGAAATCAGCAGAAAAGTCGTGGCATTTACAGGTTTACCAAATATATATTTTTTGGTAAACCTATATATATATATATATATATATATATATATATATATCCCTATCTCAATCACATTCCAAACCTGTATATATCTCAATCACATTCCAAAATGCCAAAAATCAGTTAAGTACCAGCCTCACCTTGCAGAAATCCTTGCTTCTCTCACATCCTATCTAGCTATCGATAGACAGCCATAACCCTAGAAGACAGATAGATATCTATCTGGTGTGCGTGTGTGTGTGTGGTGATAGATAGATAGATAGATAGACAGATATCAATCATGCAAGAAGCAAGGATTTCTTAGGGTTGTCTTTTTTTTGGGGGGGACCCACTGCGTAGTTGGGCTAGAGTTAGACAAGCTTTCGAATGCAAGACGTTGTTCATTCAGGCACATCGGGCTTGCTATGAGGACAGCGTCTGTGACGCTGTGCTGCTGCTGCTCAATTTAGTTGTTATAATAACGAGACCACAGGCTCTGGCTCTTATTAACAAAGGAAAGCCAGGGTTTCTACCTACAGGCAAGCTGGGGCGCTCACACCCTTGACCAAAGGACACCGGTTGCTGGGCGGGTTCTTGGGCACACGCGGTACCCATGAAACACAACCCCTCGCTTGGCGCAACGTAGGCCCCTTTTCTACACCAATCAAAGCAGCCTCACGTTACAGCACACCTATCCCTGTTCTTACCAGTGACTGAACCAGTGGCATAGCTATGTCTCACCAGTTAGTGTCTGCTTCCTACCAGACAAGACATGGCTGGCCAACTTCTCAAGGCCAAGGACCATGTGCCCCATCCTGCCCTGCTGCATGCAGTGCCCCAGTCGGTGTGTGCTGGCACCGCTGTCCCACAGCAGCTGACTCTGTCCTGGGCTCCATGGGTCTGGCCCTCCTTTAGTCCCCACAGGAATCATACAGCCAAGAAGAAAAGAGCCTACAAACTCCCAATAGCTCAGGTGTAGCCTGCTCTCCCTTTGGAGCTGGAGGTCCTGGGTTCTGGTCCCTGTGTCCCCTCGGCTCTCGCTTATTTTTAGCCAAGTAAAACCAATACAAAATATGGAAGCTGGGGTGGGAGAGCCCCAAAATCAGAAATAGACCCTCCCCCTCACTCTGGAGAAGTCCTTCAGCCCCCAGGACACTTGCAGGCTGGGCTGGCCTGTGGCCCAGCCACCCCGGTCCTGTAGCTGAGCAAGGACAGGACCTGCCTCTGCACACAAGGGCCTGGCTTCACTCCCCCACAGCACCCACTCCTTTAGCTAAGAACAGCTTGCGACAGCAGACTATGAACTTCTTGGCTCAAAAATGGGCTGAATTTGCTGTTAGCAAATTTGTTCTCTCTTGCATGAAATAAGCAGTCAGCAGCAGAGGATTTGTGCTTCATGAGAATGTGGCTCAGCAACGCCACCAGTCATTCATCACAGGATTTCTAACAGAGGAACAATAAAGGAGGCAGACCACCTCGAGTTAACAAAGCCACTGGACTACGAACGGTGGAAAGCTAGTTGTAGACTTTAGAAGAACTACAAAATCTAACACAAAAACCAGGGGTAATGGCAGCCCACATTTTATTCACAGGCCCAAGATCACATAAAGATACTTGCCAAGGGAAAAAGCAATCAACAGAACCCATATCCAGTATGGGCGACTATAAATTAGTGTACGAGGGAGGATGGGAGGGAAGGGAGAAGGTTATTACTACAAATAGACTTTCTGTTCAACAAAATGCTTCCAAATTTTAAGAATTTCGATTTATGAATCTATACCGGTTCTTTTCTTTTTTTTTTTTTAAACATACATTCCAAAAATATGGCCTTCAAAATTTTATTAAAGCAAATTTTGAAGTAGGGCAGAGGAATCCTACCAGTTCATCATATGGTGTACTTCTGTGAACAAGTGAAACTTGAGAGGCTAAACAAGCATCTCCAATGAAAATACATCCACATCAAAATTGCTACTCCACTACAAAAAGCCAGGTGCTTTTTAGATAATAGGAGTAATTAAAACATTTCTAAGCAAATATCAGCACAGAGAGAATATATTCCTTCTGGTTTACCATCAGAACCACAACAAATACAGACATAAAAATCGAGCGGGCATCTGCAGGGTGTGATTGCAAACAATTAGCAGGTGTCTGCAGGATGCAACTGCTAGCAAACAATTACCCGTTTTCACTTGCAAGAAAAGCCGCGAAAGATCAGGGAACTAGATCTGGTATTACAGAACAGCAGCCATCAATTATGGCTTAGTCTGGACAAACATTTCTAGCTACACAGTTTATTAATATTAATACCTGCTATTAATGGAACATACAGTGTGTGAAGCCTAAAATAAAACTTGAAAGCCTATGAGGGAGACTGCGCTGTTCATATAAAATGACACTAGCGCTCCGTTTATCCTTATATTATCACCAGGAATAGGTTGTACTCATGTAAAGGCACTAGGTCCATCCACCTAAGGAAACAATCAAGTAAGCAAATAGAGTGGATAACAGTTATAAGGATATGATAATGGTCATGGTCTAAATTTTTACAGGCACAAATAGAAAATCAATTTAAATTTTGGCCTATACAATGTGCTGGACTGACAAACCTTGGTCACCAAATGCCTTAAGGAGCAGGGCCGGCGCTCTGACCCTTTTGAAGAGCTGCTGTGACTGAAGTGTAGACACGCATCTGAAGAGGACGTTGGCTACCGCTGCTGTCAAGTGCAACACCTTTCCCCACGATTGGGCAATGATCTTGACTCACGAGACAACAAACAGCACGTGGAACAGCAGCTTTGCAGAGTAGGTGTGACCCAAGTTTACTTCGGTTTCATTGGGGACTGGCTAACGTTTTGCGCCCGATGCGTCTGCTGCCACCTCTCCCTGGTCCATCGTCCACGATTCTCCACAACTTCGTGCAGCAGATCAATGAAGCTGTACTTGTTACTTGTGAGTAATGTATTATCACAAGGGGAGCCAGTGCGGTCAGCTGGGTTTAAGGAGGCTGGAGAGGTAAGACGGTCATTGCAGACTCCAGCCTGAGAAGATCCCTTTTTGTTGCTCCACTTCTTTCTTATGCTTTTAGGAGCTGCGAGCCCTTTTCTAGACAGCGAGCTGAATGCATTTCCCATTGCAGCTGCTTGCTTGGATCTTTTCTTTGGCGTATGGACTAATGCTTTTACTGGCTGTACCACTCTTGTTAAGTTAGGTGCACCAGTGTTGAAAAGATCAAGTGTCTGCTGTTCTTTGACAACCTTTAAATGGAGGTCCGATCTCTTTTGCTCATCTTCGGTTTCTGTTTTCTTGACTGGTGCTGGTATGCCAGGGTCACTAGTGGGGAGGCAGAACTGTGCCTTGAAGGAATCCAAAGTGTTAAAAAACTTCTGACTTTGGCCCATTTTGCCATTTTCGTATGGCCACGTAAAAACTCTTCGCAAAGAAAAAGAGCCTGTCTTTGCATGTGTAACACCATCGCCCTTTGGTTCAGCATGGCTGGCTGGTTCTTCAGTCCTTTGAGCAACGCTTAAATACAAGAGTGGTTCAAAAGTCTCTGTAGTAGCCTTTCCCTTACTTTCATCATTCTGTGGCACTTCTGAAACTCCACACTCCCTCGGTGATGGCTTTAACAGGTCTGAATTATCCTCTCTCAAAGTTTCTAGATGTAGATTAGTCGGTGAAATGTTTGGCTCGTGACTGAGCATGGCCCTTTTATTCCAATCTGGCAAGCTATTAAAATACCAGAGCTCTGCTGCGTCGTCTTTGCCTTCCACATAGGTTTGTTCATGTGTTGCTACGCAAGAGGGTTTCAGTGGCTCCTCGTTTCCAACAACTGGCCTCCAGTGCTGAGAAGTACCCTGCTCAAACTCCTTTCTCAACATAACTGCCGAGGCAGATTTTGCTCGACCTTTGCGCATTCTCCTTTGTGGAGTTTGGTCACTCTCTGTTGTCTGTACCTTTTCTTCATAAAGTCTGTTGCTCCTAATTCTCTTGGTCATTGCGTTCACGGGGCCTTTTTGTTCTCCATCACCATCTTCAACGGTAGCTTCTCTGCCTGGTTGCACTTGTTTTTTATCTCGTTTCACCACCCAGAGCAGAAGCAGCAACAAAAGAAAGGAAAGGAACGCTGCAAAAAAACAGTAAAAATTAAATTAAAAAAAGTGAGGAGCAATACATGTTCATGAATCCCATCCAAATGTGTTTTAAGGGCAGAAAAAAACATCTAAAGACAAAGCTAAGGGAGAAAAGTTAAAAAAAACACAAACAGAATGGTAGTA